GAGTCCGATCAACCTCTCCTCCTATTACAAGGATCCCACCGTGCTCTTTTGTGTAAGACGCCCTACTCCACCTCCCTCCCTGCACACACCTTCACCCCTCCCCTCCCCGTTCTCCATTGCCATCTGACTCTATTTCGTTTCCGTGACCTCATTCCTGTCTGCTGCACTTGTTCTCATCACCCATAATTCCTTTTTTGTTTTCCCCTGCACCCTTACAAAGCCATCACTTCCTCTCTGTCATTTTTTTTTTCTGTGCCGTGGCCGTGCAGGTGCGCATTGCCCAAGGTCTCGTGCATCTGGGCAAGGGTCTGCTCACACTCAACCCCTACCACTCCGACCGCTTCCTCTGCTCCAAGTATGCCCCCTCTGCCGCTTTCCGGGAAGTTTTCCTCGTGTGCTATTTCTGTGCCATTGCTTTTCACGATCTGCCACGACGATCCTTGATCTTTCGAACCTGTCCTTCACCGTTTACTGCAGTATCCGTCTGTGCAACTGATTCATCCCCCTCAGCATGATCTTCCCGTTGGCATACCCTTCCTCTGCGTTTTTTTCTTTCTCTCCATTTTTGCAACCTCTTCTCTCCTTTTTCACACTGCCCCTCCCCTCTCTATGCCCCCTCCTGTGCTCCCTACTCGCAGTGTGGCGCTGGCAGGGCTGGCGGCGCTGCTGCACAGCTGTCTGGACATCAAGGGCATCATCCTGCACCGCTACCACTACGCACTCTATTACATTGTGCCCGCCATGCAGGTACAGGGGGTCGGCGATGCCATGTAGGTATTGTGGCTTCTGTCTTCCAGGTGCAGGCTTGATATGCCGCCTAGTGATGTTACTTGCTGATCCTTCCCTTCATCCTCGCATCATCCATCCTTGCTTTAATTTACAGTTCACTTGCTCAATGCCACAACTTCCCGTCCTCTCCCTCCCCCCCCCCCCCCCTCTCTCCCCCCTCCCCCCAGTACCTCCCTGCAGCCGTGCATGCTGCTGATGTTGGATGAGGATCAGAAGTCGCTGTCCGTGCCCATGCGAGTGGGGCAGTCGACTCAAAGATCACTCCCCACTCTGCCTCCCTTTCCTTCCTGTCCCCTTTTCCTCCCCTCCCCCCCTTCCTATCGCTGTGCAGCCGCGCATGCTGCTGATGTTGGATGAGGATCAGAAGCTGCTGTCAGTGCTGCTGCGGGTGGAGCAATCGACTCAAAGATCACCTTCCCCACCGTGCCTCCTTCTCTCCCCTTCCTGACCCCTTCCTCCCCGCACCCCATGTATCTCCCTGCAGCCGCGCATGCTGCTGACAGTGGATGAGGACCTGAAGCCGCTGTCCGTGCCCGTGCGGGTGGGGCAGTCGACACAAAGTTCACCTTCCCCACACTGCCCCCCTTTCTCCCCTTCCTGTCCCCCTTCCTCCGCTCCCCCCCATCTACCTTTCTACAGCCGCGCATGCTGCTGACAATGGATGAGGATCTGAAGCCGCTGTCAGTGCCGGTGCGGGTGGGGCAGTCGACACAAAGTTCACTTTCCCCACACTGCATCCCTTTCTCTCCTTCCTGTCCCCTTTCCTCCCCTCCCTCCCTCCATTGCTCTACAGCCGCGCATGCTGCTGACAGTGGATGAGGACCGCTGTCGGTGCCGGTGCGGGTGGGGCAATCGACTCAAAGATCACCTTCTCCATCACGCCTCCCTTTCTCTCCGTCCCCTTTCCTCCCCTCGCCGCCCCACTCCTTTACAGCCGCGCATGCTGTTGACGGTGGATGAGGATCTGAAGCCACTGTCGGTGCCGGTGCGGGTGGGGCAGGCGGTGGACGTGGTGGGGCAGGCAGGGCGCCCCAAGACCATCACGGGCTTCCAAACGCACACCACGCCTGTGCTGCTCGCTACGGGCGACAGAGCAGAGCTGGCAACAGACAAGTAAGCGCTTGCTTTGCACATTTAGATATTTGCGCTTGTGAGTATACGGTAATAGTTTGCATTGTGTAATGCATGCTTTGGTGTTCTGGTTGGAGCTTCCAAGCTGTGCTTCAGGTGTGTGCTGTGGTAGCAGAGCGGCTGGTACTGCATCCTTTTCATGTACTTTCCATTGCATCCATTCGGTTACTTTTCATCGCATCCACTCGTGTATTTATTATTGCATGCGCTTGTTTACTTTTTTCATTCCATTTATCCGTATACTCTCCGTTGCATCCACTGCTGTGTGATCCTCCTTGCATCCACTTTTGCTGCTGCCATCTGCCCTTGCCTGCTGCTCCCTTGCTCCTTTCCTCCTCGATGTGCACAGGTACATTCCACTCTCCTCTGTGCTAGAGGGATACGTCATTCTCCGGAAGAACCCAGATTTTGTTGAAGACCACCTTAGCACATGAGGGGTCGATACGAGGTGAAGCACAGTTTAGTTCCATGGCTCACTGACTCTTGAGTGGAGCTTTGCATTGTTTTGTTGTGGACGAAGAAATGTATACAGTACAATCTGCATGCCATAAATTTGTGACCATGGGCCCAGCTCGTAAGCTGGGTTGTGGAATTCAAGATCACGGGGCAGTTTGATGTTTTAACACTAAATATTGATGATTTTAACACTGAATCCACGATGAAGAAGCATCGTATACCGCAAGAGTTACAGCGCTTTGTTTTTCTCGTCGGTTACGGTTGTGCGGTTCAGGGAGTCGTTTCTGCTTATTTGATCGGTTTCTAGAACATTAGAATGGTTGGGTACGGTTGCAAAAGCGACTCCCAAAGCCTGGTTGTTTCACCTCCAGTCCCTCCGCTGTTGCTTGCGGACCGTTGCTCGCACTTCCTCGTTGGATCTACTCCATACCCCACCCTCCGCATTCCCCGCCCAGCAGGTCGACCTCTACCACCCCCTCGCGTCGGAGCTTCCGGCTCCCACACGCTTTCCGCCGTCCCTGATCCATTCGCCGCGCCGTCTTGTCATCGCCCTCGCACTTTCGCCCTCCCGCCATGTCGAACCTGCAGCACTTTGTGCGCCAAGTGGCGGGTCTCAAGCTCAAGGAGGTCCCGAACTTCGTTAAGAGCGTCGCGACGTACGACAACGTTATGAACGAGTCGACGCGGTTTCTTAAGGAGTACCACCGCAAGTACATCGTCACCAGCAGCCCCACGCCGCTCTTCCAGGTCATGTCTGGCGTCTTCGTGTTGAGCTACGCCGTCGGATGGCCTGCGGAGATCCGTCACATGAAGCACGCGGAAGCGGCGAAGGAGGGCGGCGGACACCACTGAGCGCAGCGCAACGATGCGGTGGTGGGAATGGCGGGTTACCAGCGAGTAAGTCACAGTCGTCCTAGCTTGCTTTGCGCGTTGAGACTGCGTCCTCCTTTCCACCGTTGCGTTGTGCGACGTTTTCGCCAGATATTGTTGCCGATCCGACAAATTTAGTAACGAAACTTGTGTGTGAGGTTAGGGTTTCGGTGACTAGGTGTGATTCGATTGCGATTTAACGGCGTAGAGCTGTGAATCACGTGCTTTGGTCCACGTTTTGCCAACTCTTTAACCTGATCCTCCCTCGTTTCGTAAGTGACGTGAATGGTTGGCTTAGTCTATGTCGGACTGAGCTTGCTAGGTTTATGCCGAGTCCAGCATGCTGCCTAGCTGCCGGGCTAGTAGCATGCTGCCTTTACCCACACATCCATGCCAATTGGCTTACCGTCAGTATGGCTGAGCTGAAACGTTTCTTTTATTATAGTTAGTTTAGATTTTGTTTCCATGCTATTCTCCACCATCTTCTAGGCCCTGTAGTGCCTTGTGCATGGTTTTCTCACCTTTCCGAGCCCTCCAGGTTGCTGCAAGTGTTAAACTGTCTTACTTCGTCTTTTTGCCTTCCCCATGCTTGTTTCAGGCAACATAGGGAGTCGCTGCTTATCACCTTTCTGCTTAAGCAACAGGACAACAAGTAGGCATAGCAAGTGGGGTGGGGAGAAGATCCTGGCATTGGAAATGTCAATTGGCATTGTTTGTGCTTGTATTGCGATTCAATCATTGACGTGCTTACAAAGTACCGGTACAACAATGCCCTCTAGAGACAGCCTGACCAAATACCACTGTGAATGGCAGAATAATCCACTGTAAACATGCTTCAGCAAGACAGCAGCCTGCATGGTAGTTGATATGAAACCCTGCACTGCCAGCCACTCAACCAATGCATTTTCTTTCATTACTTTTCTGTGGCTTTCTGAAGCAGCAGAAGGCAATTCAACCACGTGCATCATTACTACAGTTTGCCTGCTTGCCCTGGAGGCTGGATCATTTTACACAGCACTCACTCATCCCATATTCAAATCAAATGCTTGACTACATCCATCCAGCCCATGTCATGCTATCTCACAAAAAGATATGCCTAAAGTAGACATACAGTGAAACACACACACACCAAGCTAGCACAACCACAACTGACTCCAATCCAATCAGAGGTGGAAACTTTTTCCTCCTCAGGCCCCAGAAATGAGGAATTGCTGGGGCAAGCGGAAGTTGCGTCAAGATTATGGTCGAGGGGGACAATCAGCAGGACCGAGAGGCTAAGGGGAGATGACAGGAGAAGGATAAGAAGAAGAGACCAGGGAAGAATTGCCGAGCCACACTAGAAGGCACCATTCAACAACGGTACCCCTAATTGAGAGTTCTCCGAACAGCCTACAAAAATCCCTAACCTCCACGAATATCCACGGACCTGCATGGCATACGGTACCCGCCCGCACCCACCAACAAGCTGCATTCCCTGACCTCCTTTTACAAAACTGTAGGTAGCAGGCCCCACCTACCCATTACCTACCTAGCTAGTGAATAGCACTGTGGGGGTAGGACATTCAGCCTGACACCCTTAAATACTACTACACCCCTTGGTACCCAGCAACAGCCTCACCAGCCATAAAGAACCCTGTTGGCCAGGCTTACAGCCCCCACATCCACCACCTAAACTTATGAGAAAACGCTAAACTGAGTGCACAGCGTGGAGTGTTTGAAGTGTGCAGAGAGTGCGGGGTGCGTGTAGAGCAGCCTCAGAGGCCTCGGGATCGTCGTCGGAGAAAGTCAGGGATGGGGGGAGGGGAGGACGGCCCTGGCTGCTGTTGAGGGAGTGGTGGACTGTACGGTGGCTGCTGCTGCTGCTGTGGGGGGAAGGGCATTCGGCTTCCTAGCACCCTTGCTGCTGCTGGAAGCTCAGACTGTGGGGATAGGTTAGTTATTGAGGGAGAAACGGGTGGGGCAAAGAGAGATAGAGGAGGGGAGGAGGAGGCAAGGAAGGAAGGGAGGACGTGAGCAGGCGTTTGAGACTGATAATCCAAGGGAAGCACAAAGGAAGGACGAACTTAAACCAGAATTCACCTCATGCGTTAGCAAACGGCAAGGACTGGGGAGAAAAAACAGAAGCAGGTGGGGATGAGTGGAGTGAGGTGGGGGGGTAAGGGTAGACTCACTTGCGAGCCCGGTTCTTTAAGGCCGGTTGCGATGAGGGTGATGCTGACCTGCAGTGGGGACAAGGAGATGAGCAAGGAGCAGGGATGAGGGGGAGGGGATACATGTGCGATGTAGGAGCGGTTCGGAAGACTCATGTGCTCTGCTCACACTCATGAATGAGCGAATGAAGGAATGTTTGTGCATTGGGAATGAAGGCGTGCATGCGTGTGTGCGAGCATGTGCGCCCATGCAGGGATGGGTGGGTGCGAGCGGGCATGGGTTGAGGGCAGGCATGCGTGGCACAGGCGGACGTACATTGGGTGCCATGGATTCATCGACCACAGCACCGAAGATCAGGTTGGCGTCTGGATGCACCAGCTGGTGAATTTCCTGCGCTGCCTCATTCACCTGCAGGGGAGAGGAGGGACGGGGGAGGGGGGCGGAAGAAAAGGGGCGTGGGGAGGGGGGCGGAAGAAAAGGGGCGTGGGGAGGGGGGAGGCAGGACAGATGGAAGAAGGGTAAGTGAGAGGATGTAAGAAGGTGTGAGGGCGGGTTGGGACTTGAAAACATGGGTGAGGGCGGGCAGACAGGAGCTCACCTCGAGAAGCGTCATGTCGGGGGGACCTGTGATGTTCCACACGATGCCAGTGGCGCGCTCTATGCTCACTTCCAGGAGTGGCGAGTGGATCGCACCCAGCGCTGCCTTGCGTGCCCGGTCCTTGCCTGCAGGGTGGGGGTGTGGTGCCATGGGGTTGGGTGGATCCGCCGATGGGTTGGATAGGAGTGAGTTGCGATGGGGTGGAATGGCATGGAGGGGCAATGGGATGGGGTTACAGAGAGATGGATGAATGGGAAACGGTTAGGAAATGGAGAAGGGGGAGATAGAAATGTGCGGAGGCTGCCAAAAAGAAAGAAGAAGAGAAACAAAAGGGGGGATAGCCGAGACAAGATATCAGCATCCCACGGATGTACGGGTGCATGGGTGCATGGGCGTATGGATGCATGGGTGCGTGGATGCATGGTATGGGTGCACGGCAGTACCTTGCGCAACGCCGACGCCCATGAGGGATGGGCCGGCATTGGCCATGACTGCCCTGACGTCAGCAAAGTCCACATTCACTAGCCCAGGAACCTGAGGGGGTGATGGAGGACGAGATGGAGGGAAGGGTTGGGGATTGGGGGAACAGGGAAAGAGAGGGGGGGGGTGAGACGAGGGTTGGAGTGATGGTGATGTCTGTACATGTGGATGATTGATTACATTCGCAAAACATAGGAGAATTGAGTTATGCAGAGGTGGCACTGCCACCATGCCCTATACATACTGCACTAAGACATAAGACGAAGGAGGATATGGGGGAGCAGGGGGGAGCGGGGGCAGGAGGGGCGTGGGGTGGAATGGGGAAAAGGGGGAATGATAGCTTCAACCAGTCAGGTCATAGATCACAGTGGAGCGTTGCTCAGAAAACATTCAAAACCGTACCCATAGCACAACCGGCACTTCTGCCTTGCTGCTCCACGCACCTGAATGATATCCGATATGCCGCGCACGCCTTGCCGCAGCACATCATCCGCGAGAGTGAACGCCTCGTTAATAGGCGTGCTCTTATCCACAGCCTCCAGAAGCCGGTCGTTGGGGATCACAATCAGAGCGTCCACGTGTTGCCTCAGAGCTGCTACTGCGTCTAGTGCTTGCACGCGCCGCCGCTGCCCCTCGAAGGTGAACGGGAGCGTGACTATGCCCACTGTGAGTATACCGAGGGCTTGCGCGATTTCCGCCACGACTGGTGCTGCCCCGCTGCCCGTTCCGCCCCCCATGCCCGCCTGAAAAGATGGGGGGGAGGGTTGGGAGGGAGTGGTGAAGAAATGGGAACAAGGTGGCGGATGGAGAGGGGCAGGGGGAAGGACAAGGGAGGGACGTGCAGAGGAAGGGCGGGGTGGGGAGCGTTGGGAGGATGGGGAGGGTGGGGAGGGTGGGGAGGGGTGGAGAGCGAGGTACTGGTAGAGCGAGGTACTGGTAGAGCGAGGTACTGGTAGAGCGAGGTGGAGAGTGAGGGAAGGGGAAGAGTAGTAGCACGAGGGTGAGTGAGGGAGCCCAGACATGGCTGGGAGAGGTGTTAGCTTAGAAAAGAGTGTGAGAAGGAGGATGATGAGTGATGAGCAACACAGGGAATATGGGAGTGAGAGAATCTATGTTCACAGCAGGTTATGCGCACTCCCACACTCGCACTCGCACAGCGCAATCCCCATCCCCTTCCCCCTTCCCCATTCCCCATTCCCACTTCCCCTTCCCCTCCCCCCATTCCCCCTTCCCCATTACCACTTCCCCTTCCCCTCCCCCCATTCCCCCTTCCCCATTCCCCCCTTCCCCCGGGAACGCACAGTGACGAACACCATGTCCGCGCCCATAACCGCGTTCTGCAGCCCCTCGCGGCTCTCCTCCGCCGCCCTCTCCCCAATGCTCGGCTTCCCCCCCGCGCCCAGCCCGCGCGTGAGCGCGCCGCCGATCTGCAGGCGGTGCGGCTCGTCGACGGGCGAGAGCGCCATGGCCTGCCGGTCCGTGTTCGTGATCCAGAACTCCACTCCGCGCATGCCGCTCTAAGGGGGACAGGGGGGGGGGGGGGTGATGGGGAAACAACGGGGGGGAGAGAGGGGTGGGGGTTGGGGAAAGGGGGAAAAGGGGAGATGGGCGTATGCGGATGAAATTTGAGTGGAAAAGAGGGAGTGAGAGAGGGAAGGACGGAGAGAGGCAGGGTGGGAGGCGGGGACGGAGGGAGGGAAAGACAAAAAGGGGGCGGGGGGAGGAGGGGAGAGGGGCGAGTTGAGGGACAGAAAAGCAAAGGTGGTTTTTAAAGGCCGAGTGCACGTGGGTTCAGGGGGTTGACAGTGCGTGCAGGATGGACGATGGCACGGACAGGGCAGTGACTAGGTTGAAACTGTTGGCCTGTGTTGGAATATGTCAGCCTGTTCTGGTCCATGCGGTTTCGTGTGATTTCTTGTGGTTCTGAGTGGCTCGCCATGAGTGGCGGAGCGATTGAAAGGATTTTCCACGTTTTGTGTGCATGGTGGCATTCGTGGCAAAGAGAGTGCGGAAAGCGCTATGAGCTGAGAGAGAGGAGTGGAAACATAGCCAACAGAGTGGAGAGTTTCCACACAAGGGGTGGTGTGATTGGGGTGATTTATACTTCCAGAGACTAAGACTTGAGAGATGTGATGCTATCTTGCTTGCGATGCATGCGCGTCTTTAGCCACATCTTATAGCTCACCGTAGTCCACACCGCTGTGCATATCATCGAGTCGAACAACAGCACGCCACGCACACTTCAAGCCAATCCCACGACCCGCTGCTCCCTCTCCTGCCTTTCTTCCATTCATCTCTCATCCACAACCACTGGGTTCGTTCCTTTGCTCATGGCCGTTCTTCCAATCGCCGCACTGCCGCCATGCCCTAAAATTTCAAGCCTGATCCAGTCAGGGAACCTCCCATCCCACTTCTTTCCATCTCACCTTAACCATGCGGTTCACCGCATTCGATCCGCCTCCTCCGACGCCCACCACCTTGATCCGCGCGCCTTCCGCGCCCTCCGCAGAGCCATCCTCCCGCCAAGAGCTCCGCGCCTGCACCGCTCCCCGCCGCTTCACGCCGCACAGCCGGTTCTGCTTCCCAACCGCTCCACCTACTAAAGACTGCTGATCCCCGGAGAGAAAGAGGCGGGAGGGAAGAAGTGCAGGTATGGTTTCCGCTGTTAAGCCGAACCGGACCGTCTGAGAGTGCGAAGAGGTAGTCGTGAGCAACGCACGACTTTGCCTGGCCACTGAGTTGGTTACCAGGGAGCACGCGAGCGAGATGTTCGAACGTCGCGAATGGCGGGGCTTGGTTCTGGAAATAGTCACCGGTCGAATGGACGAAAGAAGATGGGGCGAAGGCGAGGAGAGAGGGTGGTGAATGGACGAGCGATCGCAGTGCAAATGGAGTCCTAACGAGGCTACATGCGACGCCATTCCTGAATGGCTGAAAAGTGCAAGTCGAACAAAAGCCGCTGCTAAGAAGAGCAGCTGGATGATCAGATAGGCTCGGTCGAAACGCAAAGGTCTGGTTAGTTAAATAAAAAAAAAAAATGTAAGGAGGAAATTTGAGCTCTGTCCTAGCGAGCGAGAGCTCTGCGCGCCACGGTGTGTGAGTTGCGCGAGGCAGATCGGTTATCGTTCCACATCGCTCGCCTGTTCTAGAACGATTCTTCCAAGTTGCGTTGCCCTCACAAGTTGGGGTTTTTGTTACCGAGGAGGCGAACGAAGGGGAGCGAGGCCTAGCTTAGCACCAACGAATGAAGTGGGAGGCGCTTGGTCAGCTCCTAGGAGGCTGAGAAATGTGGATGTGATGAGATGGTGGTGAAAATGCGACAATGCAGGGGGGGGCGCATGCCATCACGAACACAGATAGAGAAAGGGGAGGGTGGTAGGGGAGGAAGCAGGTGAAAGTGGGGCGTGGAGTGGGGGCATGGGAACTAGAGGGAGCAAGATGTTGATGAAGGTGATGGGTTCAGCAGAGGGAGACATCGATTGCCACGAAGGGTACGGGAGGGTACAATGGTGTGGAATAGTGGTTGAAAGGTGTTTGTCAGGGTGCGATGAGTAGGGAATGGCGAGGACTCGGGGATATAAGAAATTGGGCTTCGGTGGCACACGGGAGTTGACGGTAGGTTCAGTGTTCAAATCACGGCCTGCCAGCTTGGAGGGCTAGATGTCGCGGGAAATGGGAGGGCTGAGGGTGGGGCCAGGTGATTGGAAGGCATGGGCGGGAGCTTCTGGAGGATTCAGATCTGATCGACGGTGAATGCGTGCACTGTCGATGATGTCGACGATCTGGTAAGAGCTTGCTCTCATTGGCTGCTTCGAAGCTGGTAACACACAACCTAGACAGATATGTGTTACGAGTGCAATTGAGTGAGCGAGCGAGAATTGCACTATCGAAGCAAAAAGTACAATGAGCGAATGCATGAGCGAAGAATATATAGCGAAACTACAGTGGTAACGGTAATGGACTGTGGTTGTCGCGCGACGGGCCTGGGACTGAGGTTGGGGAAAATGTCGAAGCGGAGGCCCGGAGCGCGGGTTACCCGCCGAGCCGTGAGGTCGGGGTGCGACGTGCGAAGGTGGCGGGAGGATTGTCGATGCGAGAGTTGCGAGTGGTAACGGTGCTGACTGTGGTGCTACAGTGGTATACGCGCTGAGTGGGGACGTGAAGAAAGGAAAAGGAATTTTCCTTACATTACCCCCCCCCTAAGGAGGTCCTCCTTACGAAAGTGCGTGTACATCCCGGAAGTTTCGGCTGCGCAGATACTCGGTGAGGATGGGGTGGTTTTCGATTCTGTCCAGGGGAACCCAGTTGTCTTCGGTGGGTGTACGGTCTTTCCAGCAGATCAGGAACTCGATCCTTCGGGCTCCTCGAGGGTCGCGAACTCGGTGACTCAGAATCTTCTCCGGGGTGATGATTGGTTCAGTCGCCGGTAGTGTCATGCTGGCTGGGCGATTACGTGGGAGTTGGCTCGTGGACGGGACGTAAGGGCGAAGCAGGCTGACGTGGAATGAGGGGCTGACGTACCAATCAGCAGGGAGAAGGAGGTGGGCGGTGACGGGCGTAATCATGTGGCTTATGCGAAATGGCCCGCAGTATCGGGGGCGGAGTTTTGGGGTGATGGGCAGTCGGAGGTTCTGAGTGTCAAGTAAAACTAGGTCGTCGGGCTGGTAAGTGACAGGTCTGCGGTGGCGGTCGGCGTTGCGTTTAGCGATGACGTACGATTTTTTTATTGCGTCTGCTGCCCGGGCCGTGCTGCTTGTAATATTTCGGCGAACTGTTGTGCTCGTGACACTGGGTTGTCGGGATTCGAGGTCATGGGTACTGTCGGGTCTTGTCCGTAGTTTAGGTAAAATGGTGACTGTTGGGTCGTGGCGGATGGCGAGTTGTTGTACGCGAATTCGATGAGTGGCAGTTGCTGTTCCCACGTGGTCGGGTCATCGCACGTGGCCCTGATGAGCTGTTCCATGGTCTGATTTGTCCGTTCTGTCTGTCCGTCGGTTTCGGGGTGGTATGATGAACTGAACTGCAGTCGCGTGCCGAACTGCTGCCACAGGTTCCGCCAGAAGTTGCTGGTGAATTTCGTGTCGCGGTCGCTGATTATTGCTACTGATATCCCGTGCAGTCGAACGACGGTGGAGATGAAGAGGCGTGCTGTTTCTTCGGCTGTGATTGTTTTTTTGCAGGCTGCGAAATGTGCTATTTTCGTCACTCGATCGACGACGACAAGGATCGCGTCGTTCCCGCTCGCCCCGACCGGTAACCCCGTGACGAAGTCCATCGTCACCTGCTGCCAAGCACGCTCTGGGGGTGGTATCGGCTGCAACTGTCCTGCCGGCCGCTGCCGTGATGATTTCATGAGTTGACAAGTGGGACACGATGCCACGTGTCGTACGTCGGTCAACATTTCGGGCCAGTTTTAATACCGCTGCAGCTGCTGCCGTGTTTTTTCTACTCCGAAATGGCCCGAGGTAACTCCGTCGTGTGCCTCCTGTAACAGTAATTCCCGTAGTAGTGTATACCCAGGCACCCAAATGCGGTCAGTCCCGACTTTTACGTAGCAGACTCCCCTTGCTGCTGCGAACTGCTGCGAATTTCCTCCTGTGAAGAATGGATCCGTTTGGTACCCGTGGGTAAATAGGCCTGTCAGTAGTGGGCTTGTCTGGGCGAGTAGTATTGCGTGGATCTGGGCAGTGGGGCGGGTCAGTGCGTCGGAGATGTTCGAGGCTCCTTTTTTGTAAGTGACCGTGTAGTGAAAGTTGGACTCGAGAAAATCGAGCTAGCGAATCTGTCGTGGGTTGAGGTGTGGCTGTGCGCGAAGGTACTGTAGTGATTTATGGTCTGTCCGTACTGTCACGTCCGCGCCGGTCAAGCAACAGCGCCATACTTTGAACGCGTGCACGATCGCAAGCATTTCGCGGTCGTGTATCGGGTAATTTGTCTCAGGCGGATGCAGTTTTCGTGACTCGTATGCGATGGGCTGTAGGCCGTTGCCGAAGTCCTGTAGCAGTACGGCTCCGATGGCGATGTCGCTTGCGTCGGTAACTACTTCGAATGGGCGGTGTGGGTCGGCGATGCGCAGGACGGGCGGTGAACAGAGAACATTTTTCAGGGCAGAGAAGGCAGCATGCTCTTTCTCCCCCCACGTAAAAGCGACCCCCTTCCGCAGTAAATCCGTCAGTGGGGCAGTTAACCGTGCCATATCGGGGACGAACCGACGCACATAATTAAGGAACCCTAAAAAGCTCTGCAGCTCCGTGATGTTCGTCGGGGGATGCCACGCTTTTACCGTATCCAGCTTCTTTGGGTCGATTTCAACTCCTGCCTCCGAAATAACGTGCCCCAAAAATTCTAACCTATCCTGGAAAAACTCGCACTTGGAACCCTTGGTCAGTAATCTGTGCTCGTCTAAAACCTTAAATACTGCTTCCAGATCTGCTAAGTGCTGCTGCTTATCCCGACAGTAAACTAGGATGTCGTCGAAGTAAACTATCACATTTTTATCTAAGAGCGGCCTAAACGTCTCGTTCATGGTCATCTGAAAAGTCGCTGGTGCGTTGGTCAGCCCGAACGGCATCACAGTGTACTCGAACGACCCGTACCTAGTCCCGAAAGCTGTTTTGGCGCAGTCCGATGGTTCGACCCGAATCTGATGGTAACCTCCTCGTAAATATATTTTCGAAAAAACCCGTGTTGTTCGCAGTTGGTCGATCAGTTCGTCGGCGCGGGAAAAGGGGTACTGCGACTTGACCGTTACCCTGTTCAGTGCTCTGTAGTCGATACACATGCGAAAACCTCCGTCTTTTTTTGGTGTGAACAGTATCGGTGCGGCGAACGGTGACGAGCTCGGCCGGATAAATTTCTTCTCTAACAAGTAACCTAACTGCTTCCTTAGTTCGTCGAGCTCGGACTGTGTCAGTCTGAACTGGCGCTGTACAGTTAGCTGTGCCCTCGGTTCTAATTCTATTCGGTGGTCATGTGCTCGCTGAGGTGGCAGTCCTTCTGGTAAGTCATCGGGAAAAATCCCGGGGTATCGTTTCAACAGTTCCTGTAATTCGGGCGGTACTACTGCTAACAGTTTCTGAAAATCGCTCGGCTGCTCTGCTTCTTCTACGGCAATGTCCACTGCGTACACGTCAGCTCCAGCGGTGACTGGCCGTTTCATCGTGATGGCGTTGACGTGGACTGTTGAAGACTCAGGCGACTGCCAGCGGGGTAGTTCGATCCAGTTACCACTACTTCGCACAGTGCAGCTTCCTGTCGTCCAGTCAATTCTCGGGTTGTACCGTCGCAGCCAATAACGTCCCAGTAAAATGTCGTGCCCATCCAGTGTCGTCGCGAGCATTTCCTGTGTAAACCCGAAGTTTCCCCCGCAGCGAACTTTTACTCTTTCCACCTTCTCCCGTATGGCCAGCGGCGTGCCGTCAACTAAGCGTGCGTCGATCTCTGGTAAGCACCGGCTAAGTGTCAATTGCAGTTTTCGTGCGGTTGCGGTATTAACTAAACTGTGGCTTGCTCCTCCGTCGATAAAAATCTTCACTGCTGCTCCTTGTATTTTCCCGTGGATCAGTACTGGGCAATCCGTCGCTGTACCCTCCTTATTCATCCGAGCCCGATCGATGGCGTGAATCGGTACTGTGACTCGGTGAGGGTCGGTGCGGTTGGGCGAGCAGGCAGTCTCGTCAGTAGTTGGCCCGACTCCTACTGACTGCTGGCGTTTCCCTGCCTCTGAGACTCCCCCCCTTGCTCTGCTCCGCGGCGCCTCAGCTCCTCTGGTCATTCGCTCTTGCGATGGCCCGGCCTATTGCAAGCAAAGCAGCGCCTCTTAAACGGTGCGGCAGCTGCATTCGTCGCAACGGCGTATACGGTGGCGTGCTCGATCGGTCCCCGAGGACGATGTCCGTAGTAGGACCCCGGTCTCGGACGGCGTAAAATGTCGATTTTCTCGGCGAGCGCGAGAATCTCGTTGAAGTTCGAGAGCCCGCGTAGCCTAATTTCGTGCGAGATGTCCGGCTGCAGCCCTCCGACGTAACGGTCCACCCGCTCCGCTTCGTGCATGTAGCCGACTTGCTCACATAATGCGAGAAAACCACTCGTGTAGTCTTGAAAAGATCCAAGCTGCCGCCAAGTACGCAGTCTCTGACGCACCGAAATAGAAGCCGCGATTGGCTCAAAGCGCGCCCGAAGCCCTGCGCACCACGCATCCCACGTGCTGTACTGGGCGGTCTCGCAGAACGAACTCCAGGTGACAGCTGGACCCGTGGGCCCTTCCTCTTGCGACGGTGGCTCGTAGGCGCGTGGCGACGTCACGATGACTCGCCACCAGTCCATGGCAGGGCCCCTCAGCAACGAAACGGCATACCGAATCTTCGCTGCGTCCGACTCGACGTAATTCGCGTCGAAGAAGACGTTCATCGTGAAGACCCACGATTGAACCGTCGGACCTCCACGTTGGCTTGGGTCGAAGCAAGGCGGGCGTTGCGGCTTGAGTGGCATTGGTGCCATGATGGCCTGTTCGCCACTTGTTGCCGCAAACTCCACGTGCCGATGGGCTTCACAAGGCTCCCGCGGGCTTGGTGCGACCCTGTTCCCTCCCATGCCAGGCATCGGCTGGGCGGCGCCATCACTGGCTGCACCTGAGCGCTATCCCACGCTGTCGTGTTGTGTTGGTGTGCCGGACGAAATGACGATCGGCTCGTCCGATTGTGCAGATGCATTTGTTGGTGCGTGTGGTGGCGCGGGAGTGTTCACCGTTGATTGCTGACGCGCGGAGTCACGTTCCGCCGTGAGCGTCGCAATTTCGAGCGCCGAATCTTCGAGTTGGCGCACCAGACGGTCGAGCTACTCCTGCGTCAATGTTGCGAGCGTGAATTCGGCCATGACGGGGGTGTCGGGCGAGCTCAGCGAGAGCCTCTGTCGTGGCCGTGCGTGCTTACGAGAGAGCACTACGAGCGGCGGTGCTGTGTCGCTGAGAGACGTCTACCCCCCCAAAAATTTGAGATAGTGAGGAAGCGAAGGTGTGGGTGCGGTCCGAGAAGAGGTCGTAGGCTCTGATACCAAGTGTTACGAGTGCAATTGAGTGAGCGAGCGAGAATTGCGCTATCGAAACAAAGAGTACAATGAGCGAAGGCATGAGCGAAGAATATATTGCGAAACTACAGTGGTAACGGTAATGGACTGTGGTTGTCGAGCGACGGGCCTGGGACTGAGGTTGGGGAAAATGTCGAAGCGGAGGCCCGGAGCGCGGGTTACCCGCCGAGCCGTGAGGTCGGGGTGCGACGTGCGAAGGTGGCGGGAGGATTGTCGATGCGAGAGTTGCGAGTGGTAACGGTGCTGACTGTGGTGCTACAGTGGTGTACGCGCTGAGTGGGGACGCGAAGTAAGGAAAAGGAAATTTCCTTACAATATGCAAGGAAATATATTTCTTAAATATTTATCAGATATATTTCTTATATATTTCGATGTCCTCGAACAAGTTCGACCCGATTTCCTCGACCCCAAGGCTATCACACACCCCCTAGCGCGCTTAGTAATGTGCCCAACCTCGACTTTCGAGGCCCCCGCCTAGCGAAGTCCCACACAATATCTTGTGTTATCCAAATTTGTTTGACATACTACGGAGGGCTGCCTGGCCAGTCGACGTGGCCGCTGGGTTTGGCTTCCACCACTCAAACAGGGTAAGTACCCTCCACCTGCTTGTTCTAGTCCGACGTTTACGGCTCTCGGTTTTCTAGTTTGGCAGTACCCCGGGCCAGACTCCAGAGTGTGGGAGCAATTTTGATGGCAAAAGAATACCAGAACGTGCTCCTGAAACCAACGAGTTGGTGTGACTGATATAGATTTCAAGGTACTTTCCCGACAACTTCATAGGTGAAGTCGCTGGCCCGTCGGCCTTTCCCATCAATGCGGTGGGACGCCCCCCGTCTTTGCCACAACTCTCGGGATTCGGGTCCTTCGAAATTTGCGGTCAGCAAATGAGGTCGGTTCGGGTTCTTTGTGTGAAGAGGGAGAGGGGGCCCGGAATTTGGGGAATGACGGGATGGATGGAACTGGACTGCGTGACGAATGATTGCATTCCATTGTTTTAAACAATTGTGTTATGAGCCGCCAGTTCCAGCAGTAGTGGAAATAGATCGAGGATGTGAAAGCTGTGAATTCTGATGCGGCAATCTGGTGGCGATGGGGAACAAGATTTACGATGGCCCCATTGAGCATGTCCTGGTAGCAGGAAAATTTTAGAACAAAACGATGTTTGTGCAAATGCGCATCAAGAGTGCTTTAGGGAGGCTGCCGGGGCTCAACCGACAACCCATACAACTCTAGGTTCGCTGAATGTACAATCATGAAAGAAAGAGGGTGCCCGGTCGATACGTCAATACGCCAAGCCGTTTCCATCACCTCCATTCCCCTGTCACTTGCTGCAGCGGCCCTGTTCGACAGGCTAACACCGACGGCCGCGGAATCCTCGCAGCTCTTTCGTTTTCACATTTTCTCCCACGGTCAGCCCGTAGAATGCTCGAATGGGGCTTTAACCCCCGCTAACCTGTTGGTAGAGTGTTAGCCTGTCGAACGCAACCGATAATTGACCCCTTCGCCCTCTCAGAAAGTACCGCGAGCCTTCCCGCACGGGCAAAGGTCTAGCCCTCGCCTAGCCTAACCCTCGCCCCCCAAAAGTGGGGTTTGCCAAAGGGCTCGCCAAGTGTTTGCAGTGGGAGGAACACCCACTCTGTGGACCCTAAAATAGGTCCTTGTGAACCCGTTTGGTTGAAAAAAAACTTCCATTCAAAAAATTCTTCCGTTTGGTTCTTCCGTTTCATTCTTTCTTGTGAGGCGAGCGATTTGTGGAGAAGGTCTTTTGTTTCCGTCGTTGTTACCCAGACCCCTTTGGCGAGCGGCCCAAACTTTTCTACTGTGCCCGCCTAAAGGCAGGTTGAAGGGGGCGGGCAGCTTCGCCTTGTGGGCCCCGCTCCTTCCGACTTCTATTCACGAAGCTTCAGCGGTCGATCAGCTCGGAGAAGGTGCGGTGAACCCTCCTCTTAACACTAACCTAACACTAACACTTTGCAGAGTGTTAGCCTGTCGAACAGGGCCAGCGAGCTGATGTGCTTCCAGAATCATCAGGATGCTTCCACAGTCTAGCTAGACATGCTTCTGCCGCTTTACTGCTACCCTTCTATGGCAGCAGTTGAGTCCAGGTACTGTAACAGCTTTCGGAACCTAACTGTAGTTTTCGGAACCTAATTGGTCTTCCTTAGGACGACTTAGTTGGTGATTATCCGAGAGCCGCGATCATAGGCACAAGGAGGGAGCCACACATTCCAGATTATCCGTCAAGTCAAGCCCACCATGCCTCGCGTGCCGCGTCCGTCCGCTTCTCCTCTCCTTCCCACTAAAGACTACGCGTCCGCGTTGCAGACGACGAGGCAATTGCAGCACGAGCAGGAGGACAGGCAGGAGCAGCATGTCCGAAAGGCCAAGCAGCAGCGGAGAAGATCTTTAGATCAGCATCGAACGAGCCAGAAAGATCAATGGCGGTTTGGTTCTCAATCAAATCCGCTGAACGAGCCTTTACTGGGAGAATCAAGTCAAGGGGGAATAGCGATTTCCGAAGGCGCGAGCTCTCGTTCCGGTCCGCAAATCTCCTCGTCGTCTCTATCTCCTATACGATGGATTTTACCTGGTTTTGTGAGTTTCCGCACGCAAGCCGGCTTGAGCGGCCCCGCCCAAGCCTCTGTGGTCCCGCCAAGTCATTCTTCCGCGCAAGCGTGCGCGCCAGCTTCCACTCCCCTTCCCCCGCCCCCCCTGCTCGCCCCGAGTTCCGCCTCCGCCTCCCCTCCCCCGCGCCCAATTGCCTCCCTCGCGGAATCCTCCGCTATCGCCGCTGCAGCGGCCGGGCTCGCGTTGAGCGGAGAAAGCAGCCTTGAGAGATTAGAGACGGGAGGAGCAGCGGGGGGAGGTGAACAGCAGTACGCAAGCGGAGGGCGGGAGTGGCGGCGCGCGGGGAAGGGGGCGACGGCGGGGGGTGCTGGTCGCGGAATGGCGGCGGGGGAAGGCGAGGTCGAAGGGGAAGGAGATGGCGAAAGCGGAAATGCGGTCGCACGTAGAATAGAGTGGTCGTTACCCGTGTGTAACGGGAGCGAGGCGGAGAGAGTGAGCGAGGAGTGTGAACAGGACGGCGGGAAGGAGAGAAGTCGGAAGAGGAACGGTCAGAGGCGGCCGATTCTTCGATGGATATGGCGTTCGGCGAGCGTTTCGAGTGAAGATAGAGAGGGGAGTGCGGAGAGAGAAGAGGGAGAGGACGAGGAGAGCGAGGAGGGAAGCGGAGGTAGTGACGACGAGAGTGATGACGAGGAGGAGGAGCGGGAGCGAGACGCGGGGGAGGGACTGGCGGAAGCAGCAGCGAAGGCTGTAGCGCCGGTTGTTAGCGCAAGGCGGGCGGGCAGGAGCAGGAGTCGAGCGAAGACGAGCGGGCTGTGGCGCAAAGAGGCGATGGTCGCAGAGGCCAAGTTACAAGTCACGTAAGAAGCCGTGACCCCACCTTCTCTCGCTCCTTTCCCTTGCTCCTTCCCCTCTCTCCTCCTTTTTGTTTTCACATGGTTATCGACTCACTCTGTAGTTTCCTCCTTACGCCCTTTGTCGCCACCCTGTGCCACCTGTCCCACCCGTTCTCCCCTCTCTTCGCCCTTCTTCCCGCTATCCTCACCCTTCCCCTTACACCTATCCTCCGCCCTCCTCGCCCTCCTCTCCTCCTTCCTTCCCTCTCCCCTCTCCTCCCCCTCAGCATGGCATGGCCAATGATGGCGGCCAATCTCCTGCAGAACCTCATGACGCTCATTCCGCTCGCCTTCGTGGGTCGCCTGGGCCCTCTCCCTCTCGCCGCCGCGTCTATCGCCACGTCCTTCGCGAACGTCACGGGCCACATCCTGCTCGTGAGTGTGTCGTTCTGCTCTTGCTGACGTGTTGAAATGAAATTGCTTCGGGGTATTTTCAAACTTGATTCATAACTCGCCGCCGCGTCTATCGCTACGTCCTTCGCCAACGTCACTCGCCACATCCTGCTCGTGAGACCACCGCGCTGCTCCTGCTGTTTCACGCGTCCAATACATACTTGTTTTCAAGTTGTTGTTTTATAGCATGCAAAATCCTGTTTTTGTTATAAGAGCAATTAAACGTAGTCAAATCTTTCAATGTCTGTGCTTGTGAGGGGTGCTTGTAAGTGGGGTGCTCGTGAGCGGGGTGCTTGTGAGAGGGGTGCTTGTAAGGGGGTGCCCTTGCTCGTGAGAAGGGTAGCTCTGCTCCCGCCCATGAAACAGAACCTCCTACCCAATTGCTGTTCCTGCCCCCCTTTTCCCCAGCTTTCACCATCTCCTCCGCTACACCTGGGTCACCATTAATTTCACTATCAACCCTCCCGTCCCCCTCCTCCCTGCCCTCCCTTCCCTTCCCCCTCCATCCTTCCCCCTTCCCCCCCTTCACTCCCCTTCACCCCCCTCTTCCCCACAACCCCATGCGACAGCAAGGGCTGGCGAGCGGGCTAGAGACGCTGTGCGGGCAGGCGTTCGGGGCGGGGTGTCCGCTGCAGCTGGGGCTGCACCTGCAGCGCGCGCTGCTGTGCATGACGCTCGTCGCCACGCCCGTGGGCGTGCTCTGGTGGTTCACGGAGCCGCTGCTGCTGCTGCTGCACCAGTCCCCGGATATTGCTGCTCTGGGCGCTGTGTATATCCGCTGGCTGCTGCCGAGCCTCGCTGCTGCTGTTGTCATGCAGTGCTTGGAAAGGTGGGAGGGGTGGTGGGAGGAGTGGTGGGAGCGGTGGTGGGAGGGATGGTGGGAGTGGTGGGTGGGAGGGACGGTGGGAGTGGTTGGTGGGAGGGGTGGTGGGAGGAGTGGGGTGGGAGGGATGGCGGGAGGGAGGACGGGTGGGAGATGTTTGAGGGTCGGTGATGCGATGGTTTGAAAAAGGGGAAAGAGGGATGAAGAGAGGTAGGGGGGTGTGGGGTGGGAGGATGGGGCCCGGGATGCACCCATCTGAACCAATTTATAACCCTCAAAGGCCTAATGCACTACCGAATTATGACAAAACTGAATGCTAACGCGGGTGACAGGGAAAGGGGGGATTTTGTGTGCCAGAAAATGGCGATCGGAGGACGGCGAGTAGGTGTGGGAAGGTTGAGGGATGAAGGTGTACGGGTCACGCCTGTATACATCCCTACTGTGACTTACGTCAACGAGTGTGGTACTCGGTATAGCACACATGGTGGCACTGAAAATTGTACGTGTGATTGCAAAAAAAAAAAAAAAAAATGCACAGCAATTGCATGGCAAAATGTCTCTTGTCACTCACGTATATGAAGAGCCTTTGAGCTGCCTCACACTCACTACGACCCACCAAGCCAACCCTTTCTCTTGCATTCCCTTCCCTCCCCCGCTTTCCCCCATTCCCTTTCTCTCCACATGTTCCATTTTCCTCCTTTCCCCCCCCTCCCCCCCAACCGTCTCTCCCCGTCTCCCTCCTTGACGACCTCTTTCCCCACTGATCTCCTCTCCTCCTCCCTTCTCCTCCTCCCTTCTCCTTCTCCCTTCTCCTCCATACCCCCCTACTCCACTCCCTTCTCCACCAACCTTCCTCGCCCCCTCATTCCCCCCCTGCAGGTACCTGCAAGCCCAGTCAGTAACCTTCCCCATGGCCGCCTGTGCGCTCGCAGCCGTACTCCTGCAGTTCCCCCTCACCTTCCTCCTCGTACACACTCTCCACTGGGGCCTACAAGGGGCCGCCATAGCTGTCTCTCTGGCCTATATGCTGGACCTGCTGCTGCTGCTGGTCTACATTCGCTGCACCGGCGTGGCCAAGGCTGCGTGGGGCGGGTATAGTATGGAGGCGTTCTGCGGGTGGGAGCCGTTTCTGCAGCTCGCCCTGCCGTCTGCTGTCATGCTGTGGTGAGTGGGGGGTGGAAGAGGGAAAGGGGAGGGGGTGGGGGAGGTGGGGGCGAGGGGAATGGGTGGTTTGGGGAGTGGGATGCAAGAGGGGAAAAGGAAAGGGAAAGGAGTGGGGGAGGGGAGGGTGGAAAGGATCTGGGGAAAGAGGTGGAAGGAATGGGGAAAGTGAGGGGGTAAAGGAGTGAGGAGGATGGGGAAGGGGGAAGGGAGTGGGTGGGGGAAAAGGGGAGGGAGTGATGGCGGGTAGAGGGGAAAAGAAGTGGGGGAAGGGTAAGGGGGAAAGGAGGGAAGGGGGGAAAGGTCTGAGACAGAGAAACCACGCCCCTTACAGTGGCTTTTGGTTGGGTGTTCTTTCCACAAAATATCCCTCTCAAGTTAACTCCATTGCTTTGCTTTATGCCGTATGTTGTTTCTCTCCATCCAACCTCTTCTCATTGTGCCCCGCTTCCTAGTCATGCCTTCCGTATTCCATTCCTTCCCACTCCCCCTCTTCCCCGGCACCACCCCTCATCCCCCCCTGCTCAGCCTTGAGTATTGGAGCTTCGATATAGTCACGCTTCTGGCCGGCCTCTTGCCTAACCCTGACATCCAAGTAGCCGGCCTCTCTGTTGTGTAAGTGTCCCCATGCACAAGTCCTCCGCTTCTTACTAAAGCTTGCCCGTTCAAGAATCTGTCATGCAGAAACTGTTTTAAGATTTCAAGTCTTGAGACACATGAAGTCTCAAGTTTTTTTTCATCCCACGTTGTCCTCGCCTCCCCTCTGCCACACTGCCCTGCAGTCTCAACACATCAGTGATGGCGTTTGTGCTGCCATATGGCTTTGGCGTGGCTGTCAGCACGCGAGTGGCCAATGAGCTGGGGGCAGGAGACGAGATAGCTGCCCAGCGAGCCGCCACAGTGGGAGTGCTGTGGGCGTTTTTCGAGGCCACGCTAGTCTCCTCGGCTCTGCTCACAGTCCGCTCCTCCTGGGGCTGTGTGTTTAGCACATCCCCTGAAGTTGTCGCCTTTGTTGCTGCCATCATGCCTCTGCTTGTCGCATCTGTCGTCACTGATGCGGTCAATGCTGTTTTGTCAGGTGAAGTTTCTGGGAAGATTTTTCAGGGTTTGTTTGGTTCCATTTTCTCAGGTCTGTTAGTTCCTCTGATATGTTTTGGCTCGTTCCTCGGTTCTTTAAGCCCTTTACATGTTTTTTCTGTTGTCGTTACCTGTCATGTACCTCGCTGCTCAGCCATTGATTCACTGCTGCTTGCAATCTGGCAGCCCTCATTACTCTCAATCTCAGTTATATCCCCCTCTTACCCACCACCCCACCTGCAGGCATTGTGCGTGGTTCAGGCTATCAGCAAGTGGCTCTCGTTGCCAATCTTGCAGCGTATTACCTCTTTGGTCTCCCACTTGCTGCCCTACTCGCGTTCTACCTCAAGTTGGGAAGTGTGGTAAGAACATTTTCTTTGTCCCTGACTTCAGGGTTAGGGTTTCATTTATGTTATTCGCTTATCCTCACCTCAACATCTTCCTCTTCTTGAACCTCTTCTTTTGTGGGGTCATCGCACTTACCTCTCTTGTTCCATTCATATCTTATATTTTTCTTGCCGTGTGTATCATAGGGTCTGTGGTCAGGGCTGACAATTGGCACATGCGTGCAGCTAATCAGTATTGCAGTCATCATGGCAAGAATGGACTGGTCGCAAGCGGTACGGCCTTGCATGTGTTTCGTTTTCCCAAGTTCCGCGCACACCATGCTGGACATTGCCCTGAACCTGATGATTCTGCCCATGGCTCTGTTTCACATTATACTCATTTAACCGCTTGTGTCTGCAGGTTGATGTTGCCCGGGAGCGTGTGGAGTCGTCCATGTCCATGGACGACAAGGTTACATATTATAAAAACAGCAGCAATGACTTCACAGGTCTTGGAAGCAGTTTAGGTAGCAACTTGAGTTGCGCCAACAATCAGGACAGTATGGTCATAACCCCCAAGGGAGCCCCTTCCTCTCAGGATGATCTAGACGCTGTGCACATTTTGTGCTGATTCTTGCAAGATAACGGTATGGTCGAGCCAACCTTTGCATATGTCAACCTGGTTGTCCAGTATGCATGATGATTAGGGTTATCACCAATTGATGTCGCTGTTGTATGGGTTTACCTAGCCCTCAAATTGGTCGTCCGGTATGCTTGATAATCAGGGTTATCAACCAATTTTTATTGTCATCCAATAAACCAGTCTGCTGAATCAGTTCTGAAACTGAAATCAGCTCAGATTTAGGACATCTCACTTAAAAAAAGAGCAGAAATAAACTGCAGCGCTTGCAAGTGTTGAGACTCAAATAATTTGTCGTCAGCAATAAGTTCACAGAACCTTGAACCATACTCGGATCATCTATCCTGGTCTGATCAAAGCTAGGAAGCATTACGCCCTATTACATGGTGCCTCAGCCACATATTATATAAAGATTGGAAGTTCCGTTTCCACCACCTGACGTACTGAGACGATATCATACTGCATAGAGATACGTGTCGGGCATGATGGTCTTACTAGGCTCTGATCGCTTGGACATCTTGGCTCGAGACCGGCTGGAACAAAGACTGCCGTCGCTTGTCTGTTCTGGTTGTTTCATAAGCTTCGTGGATCCACGGTTGAAGTGATCTTGACCGAAGGAAGTGGAAACGTCAAGCTCGTCCTCAATGTGCATCTTGTACTTCTTGAATTCCTCAGCCGTCACATTCAGCGTGAAATTGATTCGAAACAAAAAGTCAAGCTCAAGCTTATTTATTTCATTTGTTCCAATCCCTCCGACGGTGGCAAAGCATGCGTTGTTGAAATACCTGCAAAAAAAAACACATTGTTAGACGCTATTGCGAACAATGGCCCAGCCATTCAAGTGTTTTCCCTACAAAACTCAATACTCACGCAGATCCCAGAAACTTCGCTGCGACCATAGCGCTTGTGACCAGTAGACGGTGAACGTTGAGAGATGTAATTGGCATTCCCGTCGACTTCATGATGCGGTCAATGTAGACGTACGAAACCACGACTGAATCAGGACAGCACCTGGTGTACTTGTAGATCCTCTCCAGATACTTCTGGATTGTTATATCAGGAGCACGTAGTCCATGATATAATGTGACTTCATCAGGAAGAACTGGACGGGAGCCTTCTTGAGCCTCGCAAGCTATCACAATTCTTTCCAGTAATGAAGCCAGACCTTCCAAGAGGTTCGTCAAGGAACTGCCGCTGGTGACAGCTGCAGACCTGATGCTGCTGGCAGAAGTTGTCGTGGTTACGGTGCTTCCGGCAGGCTCGCTGCTGAGAGTACTAGCGGAGCTTGTCGTGCCAACGTGAGAGCTAGACTTCCTGGAGGCGAATCCCCTCGTTCCCATGTGAGGACCCGTCATGTTTGTGTTTGATGGCTCCAACACTGGGAGCTGAGAAATGGTGGTTTGGATGAAGAGCTGGTGTTGAATTTGAGCTCAGTTCGAGCAGGGGAAAGTGCACTGCGACTCGATGGCTCGAATCTCCGTTGAACTACAAATGACGTGGTTGGCGCCCACCTGGCGCTTCGAAGTTTGCTCCCTTCAAGCCCTTTGGGAATTGGGATTTTCCCATAGCGAGGATGACGATACTCTTGGGATCCCTTAGACCGAGGAGGTACAAAGAACATGAACACCTACTAAACTTCGCATTAACATGCCATACAAGATTTACTTTGTACAGGGCAAACTAGAAAAGACAATGAAGTCTCCACATCAATTATATTTGCATTTACTACGCAGTTGTTATCCTTTCTGAACTGTTAAAAACACTCCGAATGTTGATATAACCACAATTTTCAGTATGAAAGATTGTATTCATTATCAACAAGCGAACGCTTATGCCAGCTTATCAATCACACACACTCTGCAAGGTATGGCACTCATGAAACTGTTCAACTTGTATATTGTTACACACAAACCGTGAAGATTATTATCAACCTGAACACATCAAGACGAACCACGCAAGTGTTCATGCTTTGCAGCGCTTGGTCCTGACACTTTGTCTCCCATTGACCCCATCTCACCATCACTCTCCCCTTCACTCTCCTCCCTTTCAATCTCATCCTCAGCAATCACCATATCCTCCACACGTTCTTCACTCCCAGTGTACTCCCCTGCACGAGCAAACTCACTCAGAAACAACGAGGTCTGCCGCTGACCACGCACCCTCCCTCCACTCCTCCCTCCCACAACACCTTCCCCATCTACATGCTCTCCATCTTGGTGCATACCTCCCGCACCAACACCCACAGCACCGTCACCACCTCCACTCATCTCCCCACCCTCCCCGTCAGCACCGCTATGCCCGTCATGTGCCTTCCACATATAACCTCCGTCGCCATTTAACTCATCGCCATCTCTCCTTCTTCCCACTTCCTCTAGCTCCATAGGTGCTCTCCCATCTGTGCGCCACTCAGACTCACTCACAGCAACCGCCCGCAACTGTTCCTTCAGCTCAGCGTCCCCACCACTCTCCACTCCCGCTTCTCCACTCCCGCTCATCAAGGAGGTTACTGCTCCGTTGCTGCCATGTGACGAGTTGCCACTGGCACTACCGTTCGGGCTGTCTTGATGTGTCAAAGAGGCTGCTGTTGCGGCTGCGGCCACCGTTGCTGCAGCTACTGCTCCAGAAAAAGATGCCACTGTTTCATCTCCATTGACAGAAGCAGCAGCAGCAGCCGGTGTGTGAGTGGCATGAGCAGCAGGCCTGGGTATCGGTGCCAGGGCAGGGCGCTCTGAGTCCTGCAGCATCCACATGGCAGCATACTTGCCCCCTGCTGCTAGCAGCTGCTCGTGCGTTCCCTGCTCCACCACCCTCCCTGCCTCCATCACCTGCACATGGGAAACAAGGCCAGGCAAGCAGGGACAAGGCACATGGGTGGAACATGAGGGAATGGGAAGGGAGAAGGCATGTGTGGCACAATGTGAGGGTTGTTGGACAAGAGCGCAGTGACCAGGAGTGAAATTCCCTGGCTCTTTGGCTGAGAAGCAATTCGCAAGTGGGTGAAAAACAGTGCGCGAGGAGATTACGTTGTAACAACAACCGTGCCCTCTCACCAGAATCTTATCGCAGTGCTTGATCGTGCTCAGCCTGTGCGCCACAAACAGACAACTCCTGCCGGCCGCCAGCTGCTGCAACGACCTCAGAATGTTCGCCTCGGTCGCAGAATCCAGAGCACTGGTGGCCTCGTCGCAGACCAGCAGGCGCGGGTTCTTGAGGAAGGCGCGTGCGATGGCCACTCGCTGCTTCTCCCCTCCACTCAGCTTCAGCCCTCGCTCGCCCACCACTGTGTCGAATCCGTCTGGCATGCGGCGAATGGCGTCCAGGAGTTTCTGTACGGGGGGAAGGGTTGAAGAGATGCGGGCAAGAAGAGGAACGGGGAAGAGCGGACGGGGAGGAGGGGATGAGAAAAGGGAGAGTGGGAGGGGGAAATAAGCAACACAGCAATTCAGCAAACGCATGCAGGTATGCATCTGTGTGTGCATGCAGGTATGCATCTGTGTGTGCATGCAGGTATGCATCTGTGTGTGCATGCAGGTATGCATCTGTGTGTGCATGCAGGTATGCATCTGTGTGTGCATGCAGGTATGCATCTGTGTGTGCATGCAGGTATGCATCTGTGTGTGCATGCAGGTATGCATCTGTGTGTGCATGCAGGTATGCATCTGTGTGTGCATGCAGGTATGCATCTGTATGTGCATGCAGGTATGCATCTGTGTGTGCATGCAGGTATGCATCTGTATGTGCATGCAGGTATGCATCTGTGTGTGCATGCAGGTATGCATCTGTGTGTGCATGCAGGTATGCATCTGTGTGTGCATGCAGGTATGCATCTGTATGTGCATGCAGGTATGCATCTGTATGTGCATGCAGGTATGCATCTGTGTGTGCATGCAGGTATGCATCTGTGTGTGCATGCAGGTATGCATCTGTGTGTGCATGCAGGTATGCATCTGTATGTGCATGCAGGTATGCATCTGTGTGTGCATGCAGGTATGCATCTGTATGTGCATGCAGGTATGCATCTGTGTGTGCATGCAGGTATGCATCTGTGTGTGCATGCAGGTATGCATCTGTAAGTGCATGCAGGTATGCATCTGTATGTGCATGCAGGTATGCATCTGTATGTGCATGCAGGTATGCATCTGTATGTGCATGCAGGTGGATGTGGACAAGCAAGAAGAGGCATGTACGGATGCATGTGGTGTCCGCAATTATAAACATGTATGCAAGTGTTCTTGTTTGTATGCTTGACTGTGTCCATGCACCCATGCATCCCATGCAACCCATGTGCCTGTGGCCCCACACGTTCATGCACCCATGCAAGCACGGCAGGGGGCACTGACCGCCTGGCCAGCTGCGCGGTCGACCTCAGCAACAGAGGCAGAGGGGCGGCCATATGCAATGTTGTAGCGGATGCTGTCGTTGAACAGCACTGTGTCCTGTGGCACCACCGCCACTGCTTGCCGTAACGACTCCTGTGGGAAAATGAGGGTGGAGAAAGGAAAAGGAGGTTCGATTGCGGCACCTCGCTTACAAATCCAGCTGTCGTTGAACAGCACTGTGTCCTGTGGCACCACCGCCACCGCCTGCCGTAGTGACTCCTGTTGGGGAAAGGAGGGGGGAGAGAGGAGGTAAGGGGGGTTGGAGGGGGGATGTGGGAGATAGAGTGTGGTGGTGGCGGATTGGTGAGAGGAGAAAAGGACGAGGAGGATGAAATAAGAGCTTCAGAGGATGAGAAGAGAGGGAGGAGAAGTGAGAGGAAGGTAGCAGATTCTCCCAAGAACTGAGTGAGTGACTGCTAAGGTGAGTGAAGATAGAAATCGTGTCCACGCAGTAGCAGTGTGCTGCAGCATGCAATGCAGCATACATACCGCACTGCACAGCACAAACTGTCACTCGTGCTGCTCCACCATCCCTCCAGCAGCTTCTCACCCTGCCCCCACGTGCTCCCCTCTCCAACCCCTCACCTGCTTGAGCTCGCGGGCATCAGTGCCATCAAAGGAGATGGAGCCCTCAGAGGGGTCGTACAGGCGCAGCAGCAGCTTCACTATGGTTGACTTGCCCGACCCCGATGGGCCCACGATCGCCACACTCTCGCCCGGCGCTATGGAGAACGACACGCCCTTGAGCACCTGGTTAAGAGAGCGGCCGGGAACAGGGAGAGGATCTTTGTCTTTTTTAGGTTTAGGAACAAGGGAGAGGACGCGTTTCAGGATTCATCGAAACGCGCTGGCACGACATAGGGAAACCCCTTCAGCATTCGCGGGGATGGTGGGGGAGAGAGGGGTGGGAACAAACAGCAAACCGTGATGAGACAGTCACAGGAGGGATTAGGGAATGGGAAGGAGATGTTGCTGAGACCCACTGGCTCCCATGTCTGCCCTGGATTCACCCGCTCACGCCCCCCTTCCACGCACACACCTCCCCTCTCCCAAACCCCTCCTCTCTGCGTCACCTGGCGGCCGTTCATGTAGCTGAAGGAGATGTCTCTGACGTCCACTGCCACGCCCTCCGCTCTTGGCGCCAGCTCCAAGTCCCCATCCTTGAGATCCGACTCCAGACTGGCCGAGAAGAGGTGGGGGGGAAGGAGGGAGGGAGGGACGGTGGGAGGGAGGAAGGGAGGGAGGGGGGTGAGAAGAGAGGCAGGTGGAACAGAAGGAGAGAGGACCGAAAGGATGGCGAGAGCTTAGATTGGGTTACCAGGTGCTCAGGGTGAAGGGCGAGGTGGGAATAGAGGGTGGACTGCAGATCCGAGCACCTTGGTTACAAAAAACTGATTTAGCACCTTGGTCACATAAGCATGTGATAGATTGACCTCAGCATGTGAAGACTCACCTGAACGCGTGAAGAATCACTCGAGCATGTGAAAAATCACCTGAGCATGTGGAAAATCACCTGAGCATGTGGAAAATCACCTGAGCATGTGGAACATGGCCTCCATGTCAACAAGGGACTGGCGCAGGTCACGATACAGGAACCCCAGAAACTGAGAGGAATGGGTGATGGGGATGATGGGAACAGGGATAAAGTATGAATCGCAGATGGAAAGAAGGTACAGTCAAAGAGTGCGGAGGGAGGGGGGAGTGTGGCAGGAGAGAGAGTGGGAGCGAGAGGGGAGCAAAAAAGGATGGGGGAGTGATGTGGGAAGGTTGCCTTGGAAGCATGCGGGGAGGAAAAATTGGTGAATCGGCAAAAAGGTTGGCAGAGAGCAAGACCGCAGGGCAAGGGAGATGCAATAGAGCATCACAGGAGGGCAGCAGCAGCAGCAGCAGCGCACCTGCAGCGGCAGGGAGAGCTGGAGAATGAGGCCGTTGACGAGCACTAGGTCTCCCACTGTCATGCGGCCCACAGCCACTCGCAGCCCCGCCATAGCCATTACTGCCGCCAGCCCGATGGAGATTATGGTCGTCTGCCCCCCGTTCAGCGCCGCTGATACCTTCTCCAGGTTCACGGATTCCCTCTGGTAGTCCCGCAGTAGCGAGTCATAGTGCATGAGGTCCAGGCGCTGGTTGTTGAACTGCCATGGCCACGGGGAGGGAAGGGGGAGGAGGTGCGGGTTTGGGGGAAAGGGACGGTTTACGAGAAAGACAGTGGAGAGAGGGAAGGGTGCAGTGAAGGATGAAGAGACCATGCTGCTGTCATGTCCTGCACCCTACGTCACGACGCAGCAACGAGCATGAAGCTACAGAAATGAATAACCTCTTTAGGAAAGGAGATGGGTACCCATAACCTCCACCCACAACTTCCATGCCCCCCTCCCCTTTCCTAACCGTTCCTTTCACACTATCCCTCCCTTTTCATGCCACTTGCTCAGCCTTCCCCACACCACCTCACTCGCTTCACCGCACCCGTCGACACACACAGCCCAGCTGCACCCTAAGGCCTCACCTGCACAACGGTCTCGTGGTTTAGCAGCACGTCCACCACCTTGCCTGTCGCCAGACCGTCCAGGCGATTCACCTGGGGATTGATTGCAGGAAGAGGTGTGGCAGGGATGGGGCAGGGGGGCCGGGGAGAGCGCGCGAGAGTGAGTGGAGTAAAGGCATTGAAGGTATTCCTGAGCGAGCACTCAGGTATGCGAAGTGGGGTTTGATTTAGATAGCAGCATGGTGGTGCAGATCTGGGACGATGACAAGGACTCACGGATGGGCACTGATGCGAAGGTATGAGCGGGGCTGTGCGTGCATCCGTGCATGTGCATGTCTGTGCAAGCATCGCAGCACCTCTTTGCGGATGGAGGAGACGGAGGAGGCCTTGGTGAGGTGAGTGAATGTATCAGTGACTCCGTACAGATGTTTCAGTGACTCCGTACAGATGTTTCAGTGACTCCGTACAGATGTTTCAGTGACTCCGTACAGATGTATCAGTGACTCCGTACAGATGTATCAGTGACTCCGTACAGATGTTTCAGTGACTCCGTACAGATGTTTCAGTGACTCCGTACAGATGTTTCAGTGACTCCGTACAGATGTATCAGTGACTCCGTACAGATGTATCAGTGACTCCGTACAGATGTTTCAGTGACTCCGTACAGATGTATCAGTGACTCCGTACAGATGTTTCAGTGACTCCGTACAGATGTTTCAGTGACTCCGTACAGATGTTTCAGTGACTCCGTACAGATGTTTCAGTGGCTCTACAGAATTCCCAGAAGCACCTCTTTGCGAATGGAGACGGAGGCCTTGGTGAGGGCGACGGTCCATGCAACGTAGACGACAAAGGTGAGCAACACCACGCCCGCAAAGGACAGCGAGATGTGGTTCGCCAGTAGCGCGCACACCAGCAGCAGCTCCACTGCCGTCGGGATGAACGTGAACACTGGCAAGGGGGGGAAAGGGGGTGAGGAAAAGGGTTGGGAGAAGTGGTGAGTGGAGAACAGAGAGAGAGCAGCGCACACACCAGTAGCAGCTCCACCGCCGTGGGGATAAACGTCAACACTGGGGGGAAGGGTGGGTGGGGGGGTGGAAGAGGGGGAGGGGAGGGGAAGAGGGTTGTAAGGAGTGGTGAGTGGAGAGGAGAGGGAGAGGAGGAGAACGAGCAGGAAAGATCCACTGCCGTAGTAGTAGGGATGAACGTCAATACTTTCCAACCACCCTCTTCGCGTTCCCCAACGGTGTCTTATCATGTCTCACCAACAGCTCTGAAGATCATAATAATAGACCGCTTCCCTCTTTCAATAATCCTCGCAAGCGCGCCGGTCTTGCGGTCGAGGTGGAAGGCGGAGTCCATGGCGAGGATGTGCGCAAAGAAGTGGTACTCCACCCGCCGCCCCACCGCCTGCCCCACCGGCGTGAACACGATGTTGCGCAGCTCTGTGGACACCGCACTCACTGCCTGTAGGGATGGGGGGGTGATGAAGGGATGATGGAGGGGTGATGGACATGGAGTGGGATGGGCGCTTGGTGAGGATACAGGCACACGTCATGCATGCACACCGCCCCACCGCCCACCTGCCCCACGGGCGTGAAGACGATGTTGCGAAGCTCTGTTGACACCGGACTCACTGCCTGGAGGAAGTGCGGGAGGGGGAAGGGGAGATGAGTGTGGAGAGGAGAGGAATGCTACAGAGCTCTTTTGATCTGGGTATCACAGCACGAGGGATGCTGCTGCGAAAGATCTGCCGTTGTACAAGGGATGGGTTGAGGAGGGTGAGGGGAAGGGGGAAGGGAAGGCGGATATGGAGGGGGATGGGGACTGGTGCATCGTGAGAAGAGTTGAAGCGATGGCAGCACACGCCCCCAACTACCCAAAGAGTGTACAAACTAGGCTTCTCTCCTCCTTCAAGTGCTTCCCCCTTAGGTGCTTTCTCCTCACGTGCTTCCTTATACTCCTCGGGTGCTTTCCCCTCCCCCTCAAGTGCTTCCCCCTCAAGTGCTTCCCCCTCAAGTGCTTCTCCCTCAAGTGCTTCTCCCAGGAGCGCACACGCAGCGACTGACCTTAGAGGCAGCGGAGACGACGAGCGCAGCAACAGCAGCAATGATGGCCTTGCGTGTGAGGCCCTGCACGGTGGTCAGCGCGTCCAGCGCCCGCTTGAACATCAGCGGCCCCGCTAGCCCCGCCGTCTGCCACCCGTGGGGTGAGGGGTGTGTCGGGGTGTGGAGGGGTGTGGAGGTGTGGGTTGCAGGAGTGTTGGCGTGTGGGGAAGGAGGCAGGGAGGTCAGGGGAGGTGGGATAAGGGGGATGGAGGAAGGGCAAGGGGGGGGAACGGAGAGAGGAGAAGACAGGTGAGTAGCGGGGAATGGGGGCGGGTCCAGGCGTCTTTTCAGAGCAAGAGAGGAGGAGGTGACCAGGCGACATGAGAACGAACCACACGGAACACAGAGGAAGCTCCCCCCACACCCCTGAAACTTCACCCTGCTCCTTCCTCCATGATTTTTGCCAACTTCCCCCGTTTTCTCCCCTGCAACGTAATCACCCCCTCCCCCCGCACCACCACCTGCCCCAATTCCCCTCCAAAGCCCTTTCCACTTCGCCCTCTTGACATTCCTTCCCCCGTTCCCCTTTTCCCCTCTCCCCTTCCCCTCTCTCCCCTTGTCCCCTCTTCCCCTCACCCTCCCCCCCTTCGCCTCTCCCCGCATCCGCCCTCTCCCCTTCCTCCCCCCCCCCCCCCCCCCCCCACCTTCCCCGCGATGAGCAGCAGCAGCGCCACGAGGATGCGCCACCTCAGCGACCTGTCGTCCGCTGCTAGGCGCCACAGGTATGGCAGCACCTGGGGGGGCGGAGAGGGGGAGCGGGGGAGAGGGGAAGGGGGAGAGGGGGAGGCGTGGGGGAGCGGGGAACACGTTGAACGACCGCAGGCGCCACGGGTACGGAAGCACCTGGGGGAAGGGAAAGGGGGAGGAGGAGGGGGGAGGGGGAGTGGGGGGGTGGGGGGTTGGGTGGTAACTAGTGGGGTTTGCGCTCGAAGGAACTGCGTTGGGGCAGCCGTGCACGGAGGGCGATGCGCGCGAGCAACCCTGCCCGCGCTCTCCAATTTATTCTCTACCACCCACCCTGCCCGCGGCGGACCGCGCCTCGCCCCCAGTCGCGCCCTACCCCCAGAATCGATGAGTCCTTAGGCGACGGCGGCAGCGGCGCCGGCGCCGTGGCCCACGACGAGTGCAGCCGCGGCGGCGCGTCTGCTCCCGCATCCGCCTCCCACGAAAACACCTTCCGCCGTCCCGCTGCGCTCCGCGCGCCGCTGGCGCCAGCTTGCGCCGCGTCCGCCTGCCCGCCCGGTGCGGCGGCAGCAGCTGCTGCGGCGGAATTTGCGCCAGAATTCTCGCGATGGCCGTCTCCAGCCGGCCAGGGGCTCGCAGCAGCAGCGGCACTAGCTGACGTCACGAGGCGGCGGATACTATGGGCCCCATCAGGGCGGGAAGAAGTGCCGGGAAGGCGGAGGCGTGGGGGAAAGAGGCGACAGGCGGAAGCGGAGAGGAAAGGCGAGGGGGAAGGGACCGCCTTGGGACGGTGGGAAGGACAGCGTTGCGAACGCGGAAAGGCGGCGCTACGAGCGTATGATGCGATCGGACGGGAAGATAGTAGAAAACAGTGGTCGCGATTCCGGCGAATGGGAGAGGCGCCTAGGTTAGCTGGTCGAGGCGCCATCGTGGGTGGGGCGACGGCAAGCGCGGATGGAAGGGTCAACATGACGGTGTAAGACGGTCGGTCACGACATACGGTTGTTGCTGGCGTTGTTGTAAAGTGCGCGGCACGCTGTCAAGAACTAGGGGTACGAGATGCGCACGATGATGCGACGACGGGAAGTGGTAATAGTTTGCGCAGAGTTGGCGCTTCGCGCGACGGCAATGTTTGATGCGTAGCCTTCACAGGACGTATGTATGTACCCGAGGCATCGTAGTCCCGAGGGGAGGGGCTTACGAAACGAGCTTGAGTCCTGCGAACCTCGTTGGTGGTAACTAGAGACTTTTGCGATACTCAACACCGGGGATTGCGTGCGCCCCACCTACCACGCGGCTCCACAAATCTCTGGCCCGAATCGAGGTTAGGGGCTGAACTGACACCTCCGAACAACGAGGGTTCGCCACGTCGCATTTGTGAAGTACCATTAAAAACGTGCCACGTTGACGAGTCTGTCATTCATAGTGGCCTACTCCCTTTCAGTAAAGTAACACGAGTAAATACACCATACATACACCCTCTTCAAAGGACACACGGAATTGCAAAATAAAAAGCAGATAATTATGTGTACCAATTATTTTCATAATGCATACATGCGATGCGGTTCCCATGAAGAGATTGTGTGTACAGTATCACAAAGGCCACAATTATTTACAACAGATGCATATATACAATACGATGCAAGAATATATAACGCCGCGTTTCTACCTCGCTCTCCGAATCCACATTCTTCCAATGCACATGTACAATTGTTACAGTTGATGTTAATGCCCATCCATCATTTTGCTTCCACGGGCTGACCGCCATACGCGTGTTTGTAAATGCTTGAAAAATCATCCGCTGCTGCGCCCGCCTTCACCATGTCAGCATACCTGATTAGAACATGCCGAAGCTTAGACACAATGAGTGGCCACAGTGGAGCACTAGGAGCAGAAAACCACTTGGCAGAGCCTAAAAAACACATGCTTAGAGGTGAATATTCCAAACAAACACCATTCCATATACATTTTTAGCATGTCCCTCAACAATTTATGTTGAGGAAGCCATGCGCCTTCACACTACAGGCTCCGGGCAAGCATCCCATTCGCCCCCCCAGGTCTCACATGGCCATGACGTTCGTCCCCAGTGGAACCGGCGCCCCTGCTGCCTGTGCTGCTGCCACTGCCAGTCCCAGGTCCTTGCTCTGAAGGGGGGGGAGGAATGCAGGCAAAGGAGGGAGGGACAGGCGGAGCAGAGACGTGGGGGACTGGGTGCAGAGGGATGACGTGTTGAAAGTCTCGATATATGCCTACTGGCGGAGGAGGGAGATGGTGCGGAGAAGGTCGGGAGTGGAATGATGGAGAACAGGAAACTTGGACCGAAGCATTATCATCCGGGAAGCGCATGGGGCGAAGGGGGTGGCGATACATATGTTAATCACCGACGAAGAGTACATATAATCGATATGAATACAGCAGCACAGACCATGAGCGCATTGGAGAAGCCGCCTTGGTAGTGGCGCGCAGAGGGCACGCCCTGCATCACGCCCGGTGCTGGGTTGTACACCTCACTGATGCCGCGTGCAATATTGCAGAAGGAGAGAAGAAGATGAAGTGGGGGGGAGGGGGGACGAGGGTTGAGTGTGGCTTGCAGAGGGCACGCCTTGCATCACGCCCGGTGCTGGGTTGTACACCTCACTGATGCCCGTGCCGCCATGATGGTGTGGTGATGCAGAAGGAGAGAAGGAGAGGAAGAAGGGGAAGAGGGGAAAAAGGGTTGAATGGGGCTACGGAGTTGGCTCATGGAGCATCATGGGGGGCTTGCGGGTGGATGCATGAGTTGAAGACGAGGTGAGGCAAGATTATTTGTAGCAGAGCAGCAGCATGGGACCTCTCGGATTGACCAGCATAGGAACTTCACTAACCTGGACCAGCACTTGGCAGAGGAGGAGTTAAAAATGGCGGAGAGCAGTGCGGGTGAGAGGCCCAACCGCTGCCCCAACGCGAGAGCTTCGGAGACTGATGCCATCTGGATCGCCAAGGCTAGGTTGTTGCATAGCTTGGCCGCCTTCACGCATGCAAGGATGAGATGAATGGAAGGTGGTGGATGGTGTAGGGTGGGTGGATGCATGGTGAGGTGATGATTAGGAGCATGGCACATGGCGTGCCTAATGCAACGCTGCAAGAACCAGAGGACAGGTGAGACACAGCACCTGGCAACAAATGGCACATCACTAAACGGCATGCAGCTCAATGGCTGTCTCACCGAGCCGGATCCAGAGGGCCCGCAGTGCAGCGCGCGAGAGCCCATGGCTGCCAATAGTGGCTCCGCCATGGCGAACGCTGCTGCTGTGCCTCCCACCTGGTGTGACGAGGGGAAGGGGGAGGGGGGTGAGAGGGGGAGACAAGAGGAGAGGCGGAGAGGAGGAAAGGAGTGGAGGTGGAGAGGAGGAGAAGAGGAGGGGGAGAGGAGGCAGGAGGGGCACAGGGAGCGGTGCGCTTAGTGACAATATCATGTGGCACAGACTATGGCATATTTGAGCAAAACACGAGCCAAGAATGAACAAGATCAGGATGAGAAAGCAGCCGCTTAGAGCCGTAAGCCCCAACCCATGAATGCCGCTCATCGGAAGCCATTGAACTTCTGAATGTGTGGAACGCAGTGAGTGTGAGCATGCGCATCGCACCATGAAGGTGAGTGTGCCTGCCTTGGCACCAACCACGCCTCCTGACACAGGTGCGTCCACCACCAAGGGGGGACCTGCGCTCGGGGCAGCGCAGCAGCAGGATTGGAATTGCGGGGAAAGTCAGAAGGAAGCAGAACGATAGGAATGCAGGAATGGGGGGAATTGGAGGGGAGAAGAGAATGAGGAGAGTGGAGGGCGGCTGGGCCAAATGTGGAAAAAAAGGGGGACACAAGGGAAATGGGAGAATGGGGAAGAAATGATCCAAGAACATCCTGGGGAACATTGCCGTGATGTCCGTGGGGGGTACTGATGTGGGCAATCAAGCTGAAATGAGCACCCACCCACCCATCCACACGGCGACCTGCCTGCCTGGCGACTATCATCGATCGAGTCAACTCAGAAGTCACCCTGAGCTCACCTTGTGCCACCCGGCATGCGCGCACGGCCAGCAGGTAGTGCGGCAGAGCAGAGCGACTCACGTGTCCCTCTGCGGCGCCCACCCACCTTGCAGCGAGTGCAGTGCGCTGGGCGCCACGTGGCATGCTTGCACGGCAGCTGCGAGGGCGTGACACGTGGCAGGGTCCACAGTGGAGGCATCGATGAGGAGGTGCGGCCTGATGGTGTGTGTGGCGGAGGGAGGCGCGGAGGATGGGGAGGAGGGAGACGGGGAGACATGCGAGGAGGGGGAGGGGGAGGAGGAGGGGGGAGGAGTGGTGGAGGAGGAGGGAGTGGAGGGGGCAGTGGTTGATGCTGTGAGCACGCCATGTGGGCCCGTGTATACGTCTAGCACCTGAAGGCAGGGTGAAGCGTGGGGGAGAGAGGAAAAGCGTGGGGGAGAGAGGAAAAGCGTGGGGGACACGAGGGTCTAGACAATTGCAAAAAAGGTTGGGGCCTAGACAAGAAGTTTGAGCGTGCAAAGGCGATTCCACGCCCGAAGAGAACAGGTGCATGCAAAGGTGTGGTTGGGAGAGACATGACATGGTATGGGGTTGAATAAGGAACAGACAGAGGCAGGAGCATAGCAACCGTGTGGTTGCTGGTAGCAGCGACCTGGATTGGATGCACCGTTAACGTCAACAAGCACCAGCATCTCACAATAGCAGGCGTGGGCAGCATCGTTATAATCACATCCGCTTTGGAGGCCAGGTCTGCAGGCGAATCCGCCGGTTGCGCGCCCTGCTGCACCAGCAACGCCATGGCCGCCTCGTTCCTGCCAGGGGAGAGGAAGAAGAGAGCAGAGAAGCACCAATGAGGGGAGAGGAGGGCGAGACAGGGAGAGCGGTGGGGAGAGGACGGATAAAACGGGTAGTGGCGTGAAGAAGCGGGCGACCTGTCGAAGACGGCGAGCGGGTGGTTGTGGCGGAGAACGTTGGCCGCCATGCACGCTCCCATGTTGCCCAGCCCGATGAACCCCACCACCGCCTGCACGCCGCGTATGGGAACGACGAACACGAAGAGAATTGACGAAAACAGAAAACACGTGCCGGGTGTGCGCAGTTCACAACCGCGAATATCGCGGAATCTGTTTAGTATGTCCCGAGTTGGGATTCTTTTGAGGTCCTGATAGGAAGATGGGCCTTGCCTTGAGAGAGTGAGCGACATTGCTGGCAGCAGGAGAAGCCATGGCGGCGTAAAGCAGTGAGTTCAAGTAACGAACAGACTCTGATACTTCCGTGACTAGCAGCTTTTGAATTCAGGTGGAGCCTTCGGCGGGCCAGCTCCCACATTTCGAATCACCGCCGTTAGATGAGTGAGGAGGAGATGTGCTGCTAGGCTTCGAGCGTGTGCGATTGACAACGTTCTCGGCTGCCATGCCACGTCATGACACGTCAAACCTCGCTCTTGCTCTGTCGTCGCCTCGTGACATTTGACGCGGTTCAGAACTTGGAAAGGGATTCACACAATTTGTTGATTTTTGTAAGGAAAAATCCTTTTCCGTACTTCGCGTCCCCGCTCAGCACGTACATCACTGTAGCACCACAGTCAGCACCGTTACCACTCGCAACTCTCGCATCGACAATCCTCCCCCCACCTTCGCACGTCGCACCCCGACCTCACGGCTCGGCGGGTAACCCGCGCTCCGGGCCTCCGCTTCGACACTTTTCCCAACCTCAGTTCCAGGCCCGTCACGCGACAACCACAGTCCATTACCGTTACCACTGTAGTCTCGCTATATATTCTTCGTGTTAGAATCACTAGCTAGGTGAGGAATGAATGTCGATTAGGTAAGAGGGAGGGGGTACAAGGATGTCGAGAGAGTTGGGTTGTACCCTCTTAGGTGTGACCCTACACAACCTAGAGTAAGAACAAAACAATATGTTTTGACACACCCCCATAGGTGAAGTAGGGGATAGCCAAACCTAACAGTGGTCACAAGACCAGTCAAGCAAGAGAACAAACAAGGCAAAGCCCAAGGTGGATCTCAAGGACACCACACAATCTGAGCACAAGCAGGCGGCCACAAGGCCAGTTCACTTGCAGATTTATAATAGCAAGGCAGTACACCGATTACAACCTAGCAAAAGTAAACATGCAGGTATAAAGATATATATAGCAGTGTACAACAAGAGCAAGTTAAGCAACCAGCAGGTGAGGCAGAGTGGGCACAAGCCCAAGAGCAGTGCAGAAACGCTGATGATCACCAGCCCCAAGGGCCTTGGTGAAGACATCAGCAGTGTTGGCCCGAGAGGCCACGAAAGCAAGGCGCAGCTGACCACGCTGCTGCAGCTCACGCGCAAGGAAGTAGCGCAGAGCAATGTGCTTCGTTCTGTGCTCCAGTATCTGCTCGCGACACAAGGCAAGCATTGCCTTGTTGTCGACGTACAGAACTGGAGGAGAACGAGGCCGCTCCCCCAAGTCGGTCAGCAGGTAGGTCAGCCAGCGGAGCTCCTGTGCAGCCATGGCCCCAGCGTAGATCTCGGCCTCACAACTGGAACCAAGCACAGAAGAAGAACGAGTGGACCTCCACGAGACAGAACCAGCGCCAAGACTGAAAGTGTAGCCCTGTGACGAACGCTGAGTCGCCTGGTCGTCGGCCCAAGAGGCGTCAGAGTGTCCTGTGAGAACCACCGAACCCTGTCCTCCAAGCACGAGCCCCATGCCCGATGTGCTACACAAGTAATGCAGTTCCCTCTTCGCAGCATCAAATTGCACCTTTCGGTGCCTGCCGGGTGCCACGTAGCGAGCCAGAAGGCTGAGAGGGTACGCGAGGTCAGGTCGTGTGCACGTCATCAGGTACATGAGGCAGCCCACAAGCTCTGGGTACGGACCACTCGGCTCTACGGACTCGTCCGAAGGTGGAGCTGAGAGCGAGTGGCCGGTAGCCAGAGGAGTGGGTTGTGGCGAGGAGTACGTGAAGCGGAAGCGCTGAAGGACCTGCTGCACCATGTGTGACTGAGTCAGGGTGATGGTGCGCCGTGGTCTGTCCCGGGTGATCTGCAAGCCAAGATAGCTCCGCAGCTCACCCAGGTCAGTGCAGGTGTGTCTCTCCTGCAGCTCCGCCTTCACTAGGGCCAGTGCCTCAGTATCAGCAGTAGCAAAAACCAAGTCGTCGACGTACACGAGGATGTAGAACGGCGGCAGAGTAGTGTCGGTGCGTAGAAACAGCGACGGGTCAGCAGTCGAAGGAGCAAACCCAAGAGCCGCAAGTGTCGTCCTCAGTGTGTCGTGCCACTCACGGGGTGCCTGACGCAGGCCGTACACTGGTCGTCCTAGGCTCCACTGGGTACCCGCAGGAAACGACCCAGTGAAGCCCTGTGGACGGCGCAACCAGATGGCCTCGTGAAGGCTACCCTGCAAGAAAGCTGTCGAGAAGTCGAGGGAGTGCAGCTCGTAGTCACGCTGAGCTGCAACGTGTAGCAACACCCGAAGAGTGGTCATCTTCGGGGTGGGGGAGAAGGTCTGAAAGAAGTCGACCCCCTCACGCTGACTGAAGCCTCGAGCAACGTAACGTGCCTTGAAGGCAGGCGGAGAACCCGGCGGCCGCTTCACCCTGAAAATCCACATGCCGTCGACGATGTTCGCCCCGGGAGGGGGAACCTCATCGACGTACGTGCCTGTGGACTTCCAGGATGCCATCTCTGCGTCCATGGCTGTCTACCACTGAGAAGAGTACTCACCTGCGATCGCCCCAGCGTAAGAGCGCGGGGTCGGGATGTCTGGAGCATCCGGGTCTCCCTCAGGGGCAAGCAGCATGGTCGCGCGATGGGGTGAAGCGGCAGCAAGGCACTCCATCTCCTCCTGTCTGTCCTCAAGAACGTCACAGCCAAGGGCAGTGCAGCCAAGAGCAGTCTCACCCCCGACGGACGGAGGACAGGCAGGGACAGGGTCAGAGACAAGACTCGCAAGGTAGTCGAGGCGGTACACAGCAGCAAAGTCAACGAGCTCAGCTACTAGGGCAGACGCAGCAGGAGACGAGAACGTAGGGTCCATCACAACCGTAGCAAGAAGGCGAGTAACAGTCGGACTGGACGCACGAGCAAGGTCAGACGGAGGGTCAGCAACGTCAGGCAAAGAGGACGCAGGAGGTAACGGTAGGACAACACGCTGAGGAACAGAGGAAGGACGGAGTGTCATATCGTGAGTGCCGGGGACAGCCGGAGCACGCTGACGACGAACACGAGTAACACGAGCACGGACAGCAACTCTAGGCTCAGGCTCAAGGTCAAAGCTAGACTCAGGCTCTCGACGCTCAGGGGTGGAAGCACGAGTCTCAGGCTCTCGACGCTCAGTCAGGGACTCTGACACCGCAGTGTAAGGAGCAGGAGCAGGCAGTGGGGAGTGTGGTAGCAGCGGCGGCTGTGACTGGTCCGCCGGTGGACACAGCAACGAAGGAGTAGTACCTGCCATAGGGAAACCAGTAGCACCTGGCTGAAGACTGAGAAGGTGGCGAAGAGCACCAGTAGCTCCACCAGGACCTCCAGCACCTCCAGCACCTCCAGCCCCAGCAGCTCCAGCTCCTCCAGCACCAGCAGCTCCAGCAGCTCCACGACCTCCAGCACCAGCAGTACCTCCAGTACCTCCAGCACCAGCAGCTTCACGACCTCCAGCACCAGCAGCACCTCCAGTACCTCCAGCACCAGCAGCTCCACCAGGACCAGCAGCACCTGCAGCTCCCCGACCTCCAGCACCAGCAGCACCTCCAGTACCTCCAGCACCTCCAGCACCAGCAGCACCTCCAGGACCTCCAGCACCAGCAGTACCTCCAGTACCTCCAGCACCTGTAGCTCCAGGTCCTACGGTAGGAGCTCCGACGACACCAACACCAGAAGGACTTGCAGCACCCCCAGAGTCAGCACCCGAAATCGCAGCACCCCCAGAGGCAGGACCCTCGGTCTCAGCACTCGCAGGCTCCGTACCCTCAGTCGCAGCACCCCCGGGCTCAGTACCCTCAGTCTCTGCTCCAGTGTCCACAGCAGCAGGCTGCAGAGGCGGCGAAGACGGCAGAGGTGGGAACCCGGGGGTGTAGCCAGACGAGGAGAGCGGGCACCCCCGGACTCACCACCCCCAGCCCCAGCTCCAGTAGTCTCAGCTCCAGAGTCCACAGCAGTAGGCTGCGGAGGCGGCAAAGACGGCCGTGGCGGGAAACCCGGGGGGGTCTCCAAGCGAGGAGTGCGGCGAGTGGTCGCCGTGTCGTCGGCGACGGCGTCACCCCCCTCAGGTGAGTCAGAGGAGTCAGAAGAGATCTCAACTGGCTCATCCAAGGGGGGTGGGTCTACCTGGGACACACCTGAGGGAGCAGGACCCTGTGGGGGAAGGGGGTCTACCGGGGGGGGGACTGGTACCAGGAAGAGAGGTGCGAGAGGGACCGGATGGGACGCGTGCGGGTGAAGTCGGTAGTAACAGACCGACTCGTCAAAGGTGACATCCTGAGAGGACAGAACACGACGCGAGGCAGGGTGGTAGAACTGCCAGGGTGGAGCGTCGGTGGGGAAGCCCAAGAAGATACAGCGGAGAGTGCGAGGGGAGAGCTTGCTCGCTTTGGTATCGCGAACAAGGGAGAGCGCGCCCCAGACCCGAAACGACGACGCATCACCAGGCTGTCCCGTCCAACGAAGTGTGGGCGAGGTCTCTGGAGCAGAGACACGGGGCCAGAGGTTGAGCTGATGCGCGGCGTATCGGACCGCAAACGGCCACAGGAAATGGGGAGCAGCCGCATGGATCATGGAGGTACGAGTAACCTCCATGATCAAGCCAATGCGACGCTCAGCGATCCCATTTTGCTGCGGAGAGGCCGGAAGCGTGAACGAATGGGCGATGCCCTCATCCTCGCAGAACGTCTCAAGGACGCCAGAGGAGAACTCACCACCCCTGTCAGAGTGCAGACGCAGGACTGGAAAGTCCCGCCGAAACCGCTCGCGCAGCTGGTGACGAGTAGCACGGATCCAGGGGATCAAGACACCACTGACATCCGCCTTGCGCCGCAAGGGGAAGACTGTGGTGTAGCGTGTGTAGTCGTCAACCACTAGCAGGAAGTAGCGCTCCTGGTCCGTTCCACCGACGGGGGCCGGGCCCCACACGTCCATGTGGAGAGTCTGCAGAGGAGCAGTGGTCGGAGGAAACTCGGAGGAGTGAGGAGCGGCGCGTTGCCGCCCCTAGACGCAAGGAAGGCACGGCGGCGCAAGT